TGGCTTGTACGAGAATTTATCTATCTATTATTAATTTTTTTCGCCTACTGTAATTCATTTTTATTTTGGGGATTTGATTTTGTCTGTCTAATAGTATCGGGAAAATAGCAGTAGTATCGATATTACTAGTATTAAAAACTATTTAATCGAAATATAGGAAATAATTGTGTTTCATTCTTAATTTTTTCACTGTATTATAGTTTAAAAGACTAATTTGTGCATTGAGATGTACCAAATATATATACCAAATTTTCTCTTCGCATCTTTACACTCTGTAGCTTCACTGCTTCATGGACCACTGGACCGCCATGAGACATCCACTAGCACTCAACTTGAGTCTTCGCCTCATCGCTATCACCATGCTTAGTGTCAATTTCTCTATGACAGTATGAGGTGCGCTAAAGTCGAGTTTCGGATCGAAAATGTCTGACACTGATCTGATGGTTGAAAATGACTTCGTCTTCTCATACGATTAGTTGAACATAACTTATTTTCAGAGAATGCAGGATGTATACTGGTCCGTTATCTAAAAGATACTGAACCTCTTGATTATTGTGATCAAATCAACTATGCCCTACATTGCCGGTGTAAAATTGCTGTTTGCTAGAAAATGATTTGAGTTTAACTATTTTCTTGAGGACTTCAGGTCATTCCCTGGTTTTTTCCAAATCTCGTATGCTGATAACACTTGCATATATATACACACTTTATGTATTACGGAGGGGCACACTGATATTATTTTCCACTTGTCTAGTGAAGGGATCTTAAATATGTAAGAGTAGTTCAGTTATTCCTAAAATACTTTATTAAAATTCTACAGAAAATTGGCCTTGTCAGCACTTTCAACTTGCCAAATACGGTATATTAATCTGTATTAATCTCAGCATAAAATCATCATTATAGTTTCCTAGCTGAATTTTGTCATCAACAAACTATGTTTATTGACGTGATTTGACCTCGTTTTTGCTACTTGGTTGTGTTGTCAGAGCTACTTAGGTGACGCACCTTGCTTGAAGTACTCTATTATAGTAGTTATCTTAATTACCAGCGTCGGACCATGAACTGTACATTCTCAGGCGTTTAGCCGGCATCCTAGTCAGCAGCATCAATGAGTCTTGTCATTCTTAACACTAGTAAGAGACAGGTGAAGTCAATTAATTGACCAACCTTAAGTCAAAACGGTTCTGCTATTATTCCTCTTTCTGTCCTGGCCCGTCTATATTCTTCTTAGACTCTTATCACACTCCCGCTTTATCACAGCTTCTTACTTATTTATATTTCATTTCTTAAGAGATGCCCCCACTTGATGAATTTATCGTGGCATCATCACTTATTGTTTGCCTTGCTCCCCTTTCATTTCGAGTGGCTGATCCGATTGGGCTTCCTATCCGGATCTGCCTAATGGACCCGTAAATACGTTTATTGTCTTTCTTGTTGATCGATTTAACTCGGTTCAAGCCCTAGTGTACTTTTTACTCCAAGCGCTATTCCTCACGTCTTTAGAATCACGTACATTCCCACCTCACTGAGCAGAGCGCCTAGACTTTGATTCCCATGCTTGCAGATATCAGGCATTGTCTTCACGGGTCGTCTTCTTGATTTAACCTGTGTAATCTGAGTAAACTGTGGACGTCTGTCTCTGGTCGTATTTTACCTTACGAGTGAATCTCTAATCAATTTGGGTATAATTCCGCATTTCCGTGACGGTTGTGTTTATCTGTCTCCATAGTCCTGTCATTGACAGGCCCTTCAAAGTTGTTTCTTTGACCTGATTACACTCACTAAAACATCATCTCATTGTTTTCTTATGATCCTTTTATCTCTGATCTAGGCGCATCCTTTTTGCTGGTCTTGCCTTTTCCTTCTCCGAATTTGCTTATGCAATAGGCAAAGTTATCGCTTTCTTCCAATGTTAATACATTTTTTCCTCCCAAGGATGTCAATGGATTTTATAATCGTTCATTTCCTTGTTTTATCCCCTAATGGGAACCTTCTTTCAGTTGACTTTTAATTGATATCGGGGGGTGTGGGTGTTGATAAGGCCTATGCGAGGTCGAAATTGCAGTCAACCCTGGATGAGAACAACTTTTTGGAAAAGCAAGGCTATGTGAAATTTAATGTGAACGTCAGCTATACTCATATCATTGTGGTAAAATTCTTCTACCAGTCCTTCATCACCTTAACCGAAATTGGGTAAATACATCGAAACAATACTTAAAATGCAAAAAATAAAGTAACGTAGTCGATTGTTATAGCAAATATACGTTTGCTTCATCTACAATCCCACAAAAGAATATGATATGACAAAAGGCCTGGTCTTCCTTGAAATTCACATTTATCCCGTGACCTAAAGACACTCGTGGCAATGTGGCCGAGTGGTTAATGTATCAAGCTCCAATTCTGCACTGTCATGGTTTTAACTCCCGCTGGGGGTCTTGGTAAGACCGATGCGAGATCGAAACTGCAGTCCACCCTGGATGAGAGCAACTTTTGGGAAAGCAAGGCTCTGTGAAATTGAATGGAAGCGTCAGCTCTACTCATATCATAGTGGAAAAATTCTAATACCATTCCTTCATCATCTTAAACGAAATAGGGTAAATACATCTCAATAAATCCTTAATTCTAAATGTTGCCAAACAGTAAGGTAGTTCTCTATATGGCGAACTAATAGTTTAGAGACTAAAAGTTCTTAATGAGCTAAGCGTTC